CCAACAACAACTAAGAGAATGAACAAAGAATAGAAGAAAGGTTTGTTAACGACGACACAATGATAGGGCGAAGGACAAATACTCTATAACTGATAAGGAAGAAAATGTGAACTTAGGGATTTGAACAATGTCGAACAACAACGAACACAATTAACAGAGAACAAAAGAGAGACTTAGGCGACAACCGTGACACAATGACAGGACAAAGGACGAAGACTCAATAATAGAGGACAAAGAAAACCTGAACTTAGGAATTGTGGTTTGACGAACAACGACAAACAAAAGGAACGAAGAACATAAGACACATTCAAGCAACAATGACGCCACGATGACGGGGCCAAAGACGAAGAAAATGTGAACTTTGGAAAGAAGACTTGAAGAAGCAGACCGACGACAAAAATGAAGAAGAAGAAGTCATAAGTGTCATTTGACGAAATTAGAGATTTGAATAATTTCACAATCCGGTGAAGCCATAAATTAAAAAAAAAACAAAAAATAACTTAATTGTCATTTTGAATATAAACTTTAGAAATGGTTTTCCAAACTATCAGAAATTAACTCTTGGTAAAATTAAATATTTTTGTAGGGATATAATTCTTTTAACCCAATTAAATTAAATTTTGTCGATGCAATATTTAAATATGTCAAATGTTTTCTTAAAATATATTAAAGCGAAAATGAAATTTTAATATAATTAGATTAAAAATACTATATCAAATTATTTGTCAAGTATAAAAATCAAAATATATCATGAATTTCAATTTTGTATTAAAATTCAGTAACAAAAAATATTTAATCTTTTAATTTATAATAGAAAATAGTTTTAATATAGTTTTATTTTAATGAAATTATTATTAAATACATATTTATTATTTCTAACATTATGTACTCTTTTCTAAAATTAAATAAAAACTATTATTACAAATATCTTATTAATTAATTGCTTCCTTTTTTGTTAGAGGTTTTAATCATATTTAGAATTTTATTTTATTTCCTTATTAAATTATTTTTATTAATTAAAATTGTCATTATTATTATTATTACAATCAATAATTAGTAATATATAAAGTCGTTTTAATCTATAGGAACTTTTTTAATCCATTTTTATATGAATGAAATTATTATTAAATGTGTACCTATTATTTCCAAATTTATCATATTTTTTCTAAAATTAAATTAAAACTATTATTACAATTTATTATATTCATTAATTACTCTTTTTGTTACAAAATTTAAATATATTTATGATTTTTATTTTATTTCCTCCTTAAATTATTAAGTATTAATTGAAAATATTATTAGTATATTTAATAATTTGTAATATATAAATCAGTTTTAATCTATAACAGGAAATTAGTTTTTATCCCGTTTTTTATTTGCATGAAATTCTTATTAAATATATACTTATTATTTTCAAAAAAAAAAATTTCTAAAATGAAATTAAATCAATTATTACGTGAAAACACATTTGTTACACTAAGTTATTTATGTTTTATGATAATAAAAAATAAATAAAATTATTATTATTATTAGTTTATATTGTTATAATTATAAAACTAATTATAAATAATTTTTATAGTTTTATGATAAATAATTTTATTTATTTTGTAGGTAGTTTTATAATTAAAAAAATATTAAGTTTAAAAAATAGTCAAATTAAAAAAACTGGTTAAATTTAAAAAAAAAGTATTTAAATAGTAAAATTAATAAAATGATTTTTTTTAATTTAATAAATTTTATTTAAAAGATAAAATTGGGAAAAAATTAAACACCAATAAAATAATCTCTTTATATATATGTATAGGTTTATTATATTGTTAATTACTTCAAAGTTTTTTTTCTCTGTTGTGTCTTTTTGCAAGAAAATGAAAAGATCTTTGCTGAAGGGGAAAGTGAAAAGTATGAGGTTTTCATGGTCCTTCTTGATTTATTTTCTTCTTGCTTTGTTGATCAATGTGAGCAATGGACAGCCTCTGGTACCTGCATTGTTCATATTTGGGGACTCTGTTGTTGATGTGGGCAATAATAATCACAAATTTACATTAATAAAAGCAGACTTTCTTCCTTATGGAAGAGACTTTGAGAATCACTATCCCACAGGAAGGTTCTGCAATGGAAAACTTGCCATAGACTTCACAGGTACCTTTACATTTTCCTCCGTTCTCATTTACCCAAATAATAATACTGTTGAGTCTATCGAAAAAGAGGTACAAACGTTAATAAAATCTGAGTTCAATCAGAATTCACACTTCACTTTATTCAAAACTTTATCAAATATTTCCTTTATATATATATATATATATAATTATTTATTGTCCTACTATCTCAATTTTATTCAATATGTAATTTTGGACTTACACTTGATTTTCAACATTTATGACTCATTTTCGGAACTTGGATTTGATATTTGTTTCATTGATTCATTCACTGCAGCTGAAGTTCTTGGATTTACCTCTCATCCCCCAGCTTACCTTAACTTGAACACCAAAGGAAATAACCTCTTGAATGGTTCCAACTTTGCCTCAGCTGCTTCTGGTTACTATGAACCCACAGCCAAACTATATGTAAATACTCTTAGAAACTTTTACAAGTTTTAGCCTCAATCTCATTGCTTTTCTCTTCTTCTTTGTTTAACGTCATATATTTGGTAAGTGCTTATGTGTGTTTTCATGGATGTAGAATGCAATTTCATTGAGCCAGCAACTAGAATACTACAAGGAATGCCAGAAAATATTGGTGGAAGCAGCAGGAAAATCAAATGCTTCATCAATTATATCTGATGCTATATATCTTGTCAGTGCTGGAACCAGTGATTTCATTCAGAACTACTACATAAATCCTTTGCTTAACAAGATTCATACAGTTGAGCAATTCTCAGACACCCTCTTGCAGTCATATTCAGACTTCATCAAGGCATGCATTTCTCAACCTTACCATTAATTAAAACTTTAAGTTGTTTTGTTTTTGCTGATTATGATTTTCATTTCTGATCATGCCTTTAACAGAGTTTACATGCACTGGGAGCAAGGAGGATTGGTGTGACATCATTGCCTCCAATAGGTTGCTTACCTGGAGCCATCACTCTCTTTGGTAATAATAGCAACGAATGTGTGGCCAGATTAAACAATGATGCAATTACCTTCAATGAAAAGCTCAACACCACATCTCGTAACTTGAAAAACAAGCTTCCAGGCCTCAATTTGGTTATCTTTGATATCTACCAACCTCTCTATGACTTGGTCACCAAGCCTTCTCAACATGGTACAACATCTAAATAGATGAAATGTAGATATAACTCTTTACATGTTTTTAAGTAGGTTAAAATTTACTTATAAAAGTCAATTTTATAAGGTTGAGTTAAGCTTAAAATTCACTTTTTAATAAAAAATAAAAGTATGCATGAATCAGATGATCAACATAGATTATCAGAATTATTGAAAGTCGTATATGATTAGAAATAAGATCAATTCATAGTTTATAAGTAGGTGCAAACCTCATCTTAGAGGTCAGTTTTGTGAGGTTGAGTTAAGCTTTAAGTCCATTTTTACAGTGGACACTCTAAAAACAATCTGATGCATTGTGTCATGACAGGATTTTTGGAAGCAAGGAAGGGCTGTTGTGGAACAGGGTTGATAGAGACATCTATATTGTGCAATAGGTATTCCACAGGAACATGTGCCAATGCATCTGAGTATGTATTCTGGGATAGTTTTCATCCTTCAGAGGCTGCTAACAAGGTTTTGGCTGATAGTTTGATTGCTGCTGGAATCTCTCTCATATCTAATCAAACACATCACAATATAGTCTACACGAGCGTTGTTTGAAGATGGCTTATGTAAAAGACTAAAGGAGATTTTGTATGATAAATTGCATTGATGAAAATGTATGCTTTTATGTTCGTTGGATTAGTTCAACAACAACAAATAATATGAATAAAAGAAAACAAGTGTATTATATCATAAGATTCGAATTATATAAAAAAATATAGTTTTAAAATAAAACATGTCATTTTCGGTAAGGAAGATATAGTTTTAAAATAAAAAAGTTCACTGCAAAATTGAAGGGGCAGCTTCTTCCTACACTTAATAAAGAATAAGTTAGTATCACACAGATTAACATTCATTTGACAGAGTAAAATGATATTAAAAAAAGTAAATTTTTGTAATTTTTTGAAAAAAAAATATATATATATTTTGACACACATAATTGTTTACATTCATTTGATACTAAATTTTCTTACTTTTACTTTTCTTTTTAAAAAAATTACAAAAATTATTTTTTTAAGACTATTTTACTCTTTTTAAGTGTGTCAAATAAATGTCAATATGTGTCATGTTACACTTAGTAAAAAAATAAAAAAATAAAAAATGTAAAAAAATTATATATATATATATATATATATATATATATATATCAAAGTATATTTTTCCATCATAAATTCTCCTGCAAAAGAAAATTTCATTTTTATCCTTTTTTTTGCTTTTTGGATTATGTATATGGAAATGATTTTGAGATGATATCATTCGAAAACATTTTTTATTTTTAGATTACGTAATTTAAAAATCTTTTGTTTTTAAATAAACGTCTTACACAATGTGAAAGTTAATTTTAGCGTTTAATTTGATCAAAATATTTTCTATAAAAGAATATTTCTAAATTACACTGAAAAAGGTTTTTTTTTTTTTACTTTTAAATGGTACAATTCTAAAGTCAATTTTAATTTTCAGAAATAATTTACAAATTGTATAATTCAAAAAGCAGAAAAACAAATTTTTGTATAGGAAGACGAGGATGGAATTTAGATTACATTTTATATTAAAAACATTCAGTAATATATTTGTGTTCTTACCCAAATAAGGAAGCATATTTTTAGTCTTTATAGTTACTTGAAAAGTAGAAATGATATTTTCATCCATACAAATTTTTTATTTTTTATTTATTTTTAAAATATAAAAATTTATTCTTTTATAATTATTTCATCCTTTTGTGTCACTACCATTTCTATGAAAAAAAGAACAGAACGTGGGTTATTGACGCAGTGAAGAGAGAGCGTAATGGACTATAGCTTGGCAGCGTTGAAACTTTTGTGCTCGCAGCTGAAGCAAGCTGGAGAAGTAGCCTCTCAAAACAGCTACACGCTCGGCGGCCTCCTCTTCCAGCGAGCGTGGTTGCAGGTTTCGACTTCCCTCTCCGTTGGCATTCCCTAAACGCCGCCGTTTTCCTTGTCTTCATTTTTTGCCTAATTTCTCAGGGCGTTCTTGTCTCCGTCTCCGACACCGGCTCTCTGCTTCTCGATGACGGCACCGGCCTCATCGAGCTCTCCCTCACTGGGGAGTTTCGCCACCGTAGCTGGCAACTCGGTAAACTCCACCCCCTCTGCATTCCATCAATTAATCTTAGAATTTGTATTAGTGCAACTCGTGTAGAAAAAAATAGCTCGTAACATTAAGATTACTCCATTTCGATATTTTAATTCGAGTTGTCTCGAATATCATTTGTAAAACAAAATATCCTGACACAGTTAAATTGATCGATCAAGTGGTAAAAATGGGCAATGAAGGCAATACATACGGGGAAATGACCTACATAAGATTTTTGGGGTGAAAGAAGTGTAATAATTGTGCCAAAAAATAAAAATAATAACAAGTTGGTGGTAGCAGTAAGGTTTGAGATGATTACATAACAGTGTATAAATTGGGGATGACCCTTCAGTCCCTTATAGATTGTTGTTTTGTGGGGGTTGAATTGGATTTAAATCGAAATTGTAATAACTACGCGTGGGGTTTTCTCAAAATTTTCTACTTGATGTGTTTCTTCAAATAGCTCACTCTATATTTTAATTTATTTACTTTGTCAGGGATGTATGTAATGGTGGTTGGAGGATATGTTGCACGTGCGGGAGAACTTCCTATGATCAAGGTAATAATAATATATACTTATGTTTATCATTTGATCTGAGTTAGAGGCATTTCCAAAATGAATGAAATAATCTCAAAACTAGCTTCCATTGCCATTCATACTTGCATTAGTTTTCTCTTCCACAAAGTAAGGGAGTTTGTTTTGGTGATGTTCAATGAATGTAGAAAATCTGATTTCGCTTTCTGCCTAGGGGAGAGCACTTTTATATGGCTGTTTATATTGCACTCGGGTTTGGGCGATGTTGTGGGAAGGAATATTATATTCGAGATTACTCCATTTTATCACTGTTTGTTATTGGTCTCACAAATAAAGAAATATATAAAGAATTGTAACAGATAATTTAAAGTAGTCAAAATCTAATTTAAACTGATAATGGTAACAGATTCACAAGATTGTTGATCTTTCATCATCTCCTGACCGAGAGGCTATGTGGTATCTTGAAGTGATTGAGGCATACAAAATGTTCTATCAGCCTCTTGTTGAAGAATTTACATGATGTGAGTATCTTATAAACAGAGATTGGCTATATTGAGGTTGGCATCCGATATCGGGAAGTTCCCTTCTTTGCGAGTTAGCACACAGAATTTTCTGAGATTGTGTTTGTATTAAGATATCTATATCTTTATTCTGAGAAATTTACCGACAAAGTGCATTAAAAATGACTGTTGCAATGATCCAATTAGGTATATTTGGTGTTTTAATTTTGATTGTATATTTACGGATTTTAGTTTAATTTAGGGTAATTAATATGCATTACCTTGTACATTTGGTTATCTTTCTAGGGATTTAATTTTTACTTTGTTGGTCATACATAGACCCAAGTGGTATCCAAATTGAGTGAAAATGGTATTCCACACCCAGATGAACACCCTAGAGCTTTTCTTTCTTCTCTCTTCATTCCCCGTCACATTCTTTGACATCTACATATTTGTAATACCAATCTATTTAATCACATTTGTAATATTAACTCTTGATTCAAAACTCTATCTATCATTCAGTTGTGATTAAATACATGTAATGGAAATTTATAGGGAAAATATTCTTATATAGAATATTCAGGAACCATGTCATTTACTTTTGCACAATCCATGCCCCTTAACACGGTGTTTTCGAAATATGAAAATAAAATCCTGGGATATTACAAGTTTGTAACCTATATTTTATTGATTAAGAAAGCTCATCGACTACCATTTTATTTATAGCGTTGTAGCACCCTGTGGGTACCAAGGATCATCGATATGGTAATCCCTTATCTTCTAAAATTTTTTGTGACTTAGACGTAATAATTCAAATCCAGGAAAATATTAAATCTCATTTTTTTACATACAATAAGCAGAAACTAAAGTTAAATGTCCCACAAACTACGCATGCAACAAAGTCTGATGCAGACAAATCAAGGATCAACTCGTTTAAAATGTACAATTTGACAAACCCCCACCCGAACAAGTGTTGCGTTTTCGAAAGACAACTCTAATATAGGAAGAAGTTCCAAGCACAAAAAAAAAATCGTAGTTTGTATAACTGAGCACACTTGATCCATTGAATTTGAAGCTACACCTACACCTGTAATGCCAGTAAAGGTGAAATAAGTTAGGTTACAACAGTACAGCAGAATTCCAGTAAAGTTTGTCCCAGGAAGAGCTTCTTCCCAAGGCAGAAGCTTCTTGTCTGACCTGCATTGCATATAATGCCCCATGCAACAATTCCATGGATATCAAGCTCAAAGGATCAGCAAAACGTATCCATGAAAACAACACGGGTTGCATATAACCCCCATACAGGCCCATTTATATCTGTTTGGATGATTTTACAGATTGGGAGTCTTTGAGAGGCTCAGAAGTTCCTTTAATGGCTATATTTCTCAAACCAATTTCCACTGACTCTTTTTCAGCAGCTTCCCTTTTCCTTCTTTCAGACAATTCCTCATTGACGGCATCAGGTTGAGCGGATGTTATTGAGGGCTGAAGAGTACGGGGACCTGCATTCAACCACGGATGACTAAGACACTGAGCAGCTGTTGGTCTCTTTTCTGGGACGAAATCAAGTATTGGAGCAAGGAAGTCAACCATGTCCTTTGTGTCTTGCTCACTGAAATTATACTTGTCCATCAGCACCTTATCCATTGGCCAGAATCTCAAATTGCTTATGTGCCTCAAGTCACCATGTGTATTGAAAAATTCTCGAGAATAGCGTCCCCCTAGTGCAATCTGAAGGACATACAAATTTTTCTGGTTCAGCACACAGATGAAATATCAACATTGACCGATTTTCAGAATGAAATACAGTAAATTACCCTATTTTTCAATTTCTTTTAAGTAGAAAAACTCATTGAAAGTAAAATGGAAAACACAACATGAAGATCTGGAAAATAGTCTGAAACGAAGTTTAAATTTGAATAGTGATTCTTGGATATAAAATCCATACCTTCGGAGGCATCTTCCCAACAAGCTCCATCATCAATGCCAGATGGTCCTGTAAAACAAACGCCTAAATATCACCAAGACAAGATTGCAGTTCATTTTTACGTAGTCATCACTGTTTTCAAACATGGTTTTCCACTAATGTCAAAATTTCCAGCAAGTATAAAGCAAGGAAAAATATATAAAGTGTACACAAAACAACATGGACCTAGAGTCCCAGTGATTTCAATGGATATATATATATATATATATTTCCCCCAAAATTTGCTTTAAAATTTCATTGATTAGAACCAAACAGAGAAGACTGATGAAGCCCCAATTTTAACCAGTAGCATGACTTCACAAACTGCAAGCTAAAGCCTCCATTTCATCCTTCAGAAGTTAAAAACGAGTACAAAGTTGAAATATCCTTAGTAGGAAAGAAATCACTCTTTAACTATAAATGTTCTGCCTACATAAGTTAGCGATGTTCCCAATGAATGTTTTTCTTAATTTCCAAATACAACATGAATTCCAAAGAAGGCTGATATAAATGAAAAAGAATTAAGACACACGCATGATAATATTATTGATTCAACTGCCATGGGCATGTCCTTTGTATTATTGCTCCCAGCCCCAGGGCCCATAATATATTTCCTATTGTCAAATTAGAAATTACAAACTGTATAATTTAAGCAAGGCTTCCAGCAACATAAGTTTTAAATTTCTTCGAGAAAGAAGTATATTCTACCCACCCTTCTCATGGCATATAATTGTTTCCAAAAGATAGCATTTGCCTTTTTCCTTTTGAAAAAAACAGATATTTGTTTAAAATGCGAAGAAATATACACTTTTGCATTCACTCACATGTAACAAAAACATGAGGATACAAAATTGAATTGTAATAGCAAAGCGACCAAATAAAAAACTTAAGCACAAGTGAACTTCCACACTGTTAAAAACACTCAATAGAAAAAAGTTCATGACAGTTAAGCATGATAGTGTTTTTAGTGGAAAAGAGGTGCAATTACCTCATCTCTATCATAGTTGTCACCACTGTGAGGATCAAAAAGAACATCACCAGTGGCAAGCTCAAAGCAAATGCAAGCAAAGGACCATAAATCTGCTGGGGTTGAGTATTTGGATCCAAGAAGAACCTCAGGACACCTATATTGCCTTGTCTGAATATCATTTGTGAATTGTTTGTAAGTCCAACAAGCACTTCCAAAATCAACCAGCTTGCACCTAAGATCAACGGCTGCTAGCAATTTCTTTTTCATCAAACGGCTGCTACTCATATGACTATGACTTCCTTGTGAAGCATCCTTTTCAAAATTCTTTGTTGATTCATCTTTACTCAGAGAACTATCAGGTTTATCTTCAACAGATTCTACACTTGATTTTACATCATTGCCACAATCTTCTTGCTCGGGTCCTTTATAATCCTCAGCTTCCTCTGAAGTTTCCGTCCCAACAAAGCCTTGAGCTACCTTAGCCTTCCTCTTCACTTTCTTTTTCTGGTTCTTCAGTGGATCTCCATTCAAAATTTTATTGTCTTGGTGAGTCCCATTATTAGACGCAGCCTTATCCTTGGTATTCGGAAGGATGAGTGAAGCACCTGATTTCCTAGGATCTTTGGATGGATTTATCAGTGACTGAAGCAACACATTTTCTGGTTTCAAATCAGTGTGTATAACAGAAAGCTCACGATGCAAGTAATCTAAGCCCACCAATATATGAAAACAGATTTCTTTAACCATATGGAGTGGAACCCCACGATAGTCAGTATATTTAATAAGGGTGAGAAGATTGTCACCCAGGAATTCAAAAACCATACACACATGCTGTCCATTAGGCCCCGAATGCTTGAAATGATCCAAAAGCTTCACAACACATTTCTTATCATCCAGGTCCCCCTCGGCTATTTGTTTGAGAATCTTTATTTCATCCATTGCAGCTTCAGTGTAATGTTGGGCACTCTTTTGAATTTTAAGGGCTACAAAACGCTGCAAACAAAAAACTTTCCTATCAGTAAGAGATTCAAACTCCAAAGTTCAACATTTACAAACAGCGACAAGTTAAACATGGTGGATGTTTCCTTTGTTAACTTGTGTCACTTTTTCATTTCAGTTTACATGTTTTCACTGATAAAGGCATCCAATAATAACTAGTCAAATTTAGTAAGCTTGCGACTTCTGATTAACTAAGAGTGTAAATCTTATACTAACAAGTAAGACTGTCCCAAAGGCTTCAGTACCATATTTTAGCACTCTAACATAATCAGTTCCTTTAACAGTCCATGGAATCCTTTCCCAACCCCAACCCAAATGGTCCATTTCCCTTTCACGGCTTCATTCACCTAGAGTCACTCGACGTGGGACTCCTAACAAATAGTGCCACATAATTTTCATTTAGCTCCCTACGTTCAAGGTTCTATAAAGTCTCTTCTCATTTCCCACCCTTCCCTAGCAACTAAAACAAGAAACAGGAAAAATCTGTAACATTCTCATAATCATTACTCCAAAAACATCACAGGGAAGCAACTAAACGCAATGGAGTTCTCGAAAAACGAGGAACTAACAATTCAACGTAGTGAGTGATCGAAGTCCAAAGACATAAAAAAGCATAATGTGGGCAATTATAACATGAAAACCAAAGGAGCGGAGTTGAAAAATGGAGGTACCGAAATGAGAGTGTCCCAAGCGAGCCAGACGGTGGAAAAATGGCCCCAACCGAGCTTGGACTGCACGACGTAGCGGCCGTTGTTGAAAGCATCGCCGATTCGAACGGCATGGTACCCTCCACGCCTGTAATCCTCCATGCATTCCTCCTCTGAACTGTAATTTTCGTTCCTCTCCATCAAATGCTTCGGTTACAAATCCCAATTTGTTTGAGTCAGAGAGAGGCGAATTGGAGTTAGGGTTTTTGAACTTTACCGGGAAAATAAAACCACCGGAATTTGAGAGTGACTGAGGGAACTATAGTTATTATCATTGTGACTGCCATTAACGAATTAAAAAATATGAAATTTTTTTTTTTTAACTCCTTCCCTTCACTTTGTAACAGTTCGATTTTTATGAAAAATTCTGACTCTTATTTTCAAAATTTAAAATTCAAAACAATGGAACCACCAAAATTTATTTTAGGTTTAATATCTATTTTGTCCTTAAGTTCGGTAGATATGTTCAAAGTAATTTTATACTTTTATAGACATTAGTCCCATATTTTATAAAAGGCTTAATACCTTTTGGTCGCTCGAAAGAGAGGAAATGTAAGAATCTTTCTACCTTTTTTTAAAAAGTTAAAAACGGTCTCAACTTTTGAAAAAACTGATCAAGTTAATCCTTTTTTGTTATGTCGTCAAATTTCTAACGGTGCATCTGCCATCCTAGAGAAAACTTAATGACAGTCCAAAACTTTTGTGATTGCGTGGCACACCGAGGTAATATAATATGTCAATTTTAAATTTAAAAAAAAAATTGTTTGCCAC